GGTCACACTCTTCCTCCACCCTCAGTTTCCTCATCTATAACATGGGGGTCCTTCCAGGACCTTTCTTAGGGTTGTTGAAGGGAAAAAAAGAAAGAATCCTCATAAGGCATCTCACACAGTGTGCTTCATAAACAACCATCTTTATTCTTCCCTTTTAAACCTCTATAAGAGGGTGGAGCAGAGCCCCTTGGGCTTTTGAATGGGTGGAGTGGACACAGTTTAGAGGGAAGCCACTGGTTCTGAGGCCTAGAAAGAAATTTCTTGATATAAGCTACGTTCATAGAAAGAAAAAGGAATTTAAAAAGTGAGCCAAGATTCTGTCCAAGATTCTCAATACTGTTTGTGCATGTGTTTCATTTGCCTCTGCTCTCTTCTAGGCCCTGGCCCTTTGTGTAAGTCTTTGCTGTTGTCACAGCCTCAGATACTGAAGAATACCCTATGCCTCCCCAGCCCCCCATCATTATCATAGCGAACCCCTATTTACAGGGCAGACCTGGCCCTCCCTTCTCGTAGCTGCAAACAGCCCCTTCCCACACCTGAGTGAGGAGCATCATTTAATGTTTTTAATGCAGGAGCATCATTTAATGTTTTTCCCTGTCATATCCACAGCCATCATCTTTTCTAACCCCAAACTCAGACTTGCAGAGTGGTTGAGCTTTTGTGCCCCTGGTAGCAGGCTGGGAAGTGGAGGTCTGGTCACCTGCAGCTGTGTTGCCATTTTCATGACACTGCATGTGGGTTCTTCCACACAGGCGTTATTACTGGGGTGGGTTGTTGCTGTGCTTGTGTGGAAAACAGTGGTGGGCATCTTTGTGTGTGTAGCTTTTCTTTCAGGTTGTTTCCACAGGATAGCTTTTTAGATGTGGGATTACTGAGTTGGAAGTGGGCAAAGGATACTCTTCCTCTGGAGCCGAGGGCCTTGGCTTCCTGCCCTCCTGTACAAAGAGATGAGCTGGCAGTGTGTGGTGATACCCTGCTCATCTGTGAGACACAGCAAGCTCCTGCACAAGAGTTGCAAGTGAATATTGCCGAACTGCTATCATAGCTTACACTGTCCCTGGGAGCAGATGAACATACCTGTTCCCACCCGCACTCCTGTGGGTATTCGTATTTGCTACTCTCTGGGATGTCGGCCTTCAGGTGGGTTATCCAGTGACTTATTTGGGTTCCAGTGTCAGATATGCCCATGAGTGGGACTGGGGCCCTCTTTGCCAGGAGCTCACAGTGTTGAGAGACAGAGCGGGAGACAGACAGGGTCACTGCATATCCATCGGTGCCTGGCCAGGGGGAAGCACAGGGAGTGAGACACAGGGACACAGAGGAGACCCTGACTCAGCCCTGGGGCATCAGGGAAGGATTCCAGGAGGAGATGGCGAGGAGTGGTAAGAACTGAGGGCTGCTTAGAGATGAGCCAGGCAGCAAGGAAATGGCAGTGCAGAGATGTGAGTCACCTGGTTTCTCACTTACTTTCTTCATTGCTGGGACAAAATATCTGACACCCACAACTTAAGGAAGGAGAGGTTTATTTTTCACAAGTTTGTAGAGGTTTCACTCCATAGTCAGCTGGCTCCAAGGCAGGACAGCATGGCAGAGGGGCACAGCAGAGGAGAAGGAGCTCATGGCATGGCACATAGGAAGGAGAGAGACAGATCGAGGGAGGAGTGAGGGAGCTACACCCTTCCAGGCCACGCCCCCTCCTTCAATCAGGCTCCACCTTCCCAAATGGCATTTAGCTCTTAACTCTATCAGTGGACTAATCCACTGATGAATATCATGCACCCATGATCCAACCATCTCCCCCAAAGCTCCACCTATGAACACAAGACTTTTGAGGGGCATCTAAATATAAACCATTACAACTGGTTTTAAATCCCCTCCTTTGTAACTTAGCTAACATGCTTTTATATTTCACTTATTTCTGTTATTTATTGTTTGGTCTCTGTCTTCTTTAATGTCAGCTCCATGAAATAGGCCCCTCTTTGTGTTTTGTTTTGGTTTTTTTTTGGTACCGGGGATCGAACTCGGGACCTTGCGCTTGCAAGACAGGCTCCAGAACCACTGAGCTAAATCCCCGGCCCTTCTCTGTGTTATACTCACTGCTGCATTCTCAGCACCTAGCCCAGAGCCTGGCACATAGTCAGTGCTAGAGAATTGGCTATGGAAATGAGTGGATGGATACATGGATGGATGAGCTGCAGCCATGGGGACAGGTATGAGAGGATTTACATACTTTAGTGACATCTGATGTTTTGGCCGGCCCTGTCCATCTGGGGCCTCTGGGTGGACAGATCTTCTGTGCCCTGGTCCTCCAGGAGGACGTATTTTGCCAGTGTGTTCTTGGGCCTTTGCACAATGTGCCACAGAGGATGGATTTGCAGATTTAGAGGCCAAGGTCATGTTCCCGGAAGATGCTGAAAGGTGTGAGGACCAGCCCACGTTCCTCACCAGATGGTGGCATTCCCAGGAAGCAGCAGCCAGAGACACTGAGTGAATGGCTGGTGAGCTACCAGATTGGATTTAAGGGTGTAATTATGAATGTTCGTCAGCAACTGTTAGAATGAATCAACGCCTCCGAATCAGGGAGCAGAGCTGCCAAATTGTTTGGCTTTGAATGAAAACACTTCTCTTGCCTCCTGTCTTGTGATCTCTCGGGTTCCCCAGGCACCTGGGAGCTCATGGTGCACCAGACACGGAGCACAGACCTAGTGCCTCTCCGGGAGGCAGAGAGTGCAGCAAAAGGAGGGTCAGAAGAGTGCAGGAGTGAATGCTTTCCATTAACTCCTGTCTCGTTCCAGCACCTGTTGCCCAGTAACTCCCATCCCAGGCAGAGGGCTTTCCCTGCAAGAGATAGCTGGCAGGAAGTGGGAATTTTAGGCTTTGTAAATCAGTTCAGGGAGATTGGGCCTTTGGACACATCAGGCTCAGCTACAACAGGGAACTGCCTGTGCCGTTCCTCTCCTGGTTCACCACGCCTCCTGGTGGCCACCTTGCACCCTGCTGACCTCCATGACAATATGTATACATCATCGCCAGCCCTTTAAAAAATTTTGTTTTGAGACATCATCTCGCTAAGTTGTCCAGGCTGGATTTGAGCTTGCCATCCTACTGCCTCAGTCTCTCAAGTAACTGGGATTATAGGCATCCACCACCATGCCCAGTTCCCTTCTTTGTTTATGAAGTTCTTGGTTACCTGGTTTCGTTCTTGATGTTTCACTAATGCATTTATAAAAAGGAGCGAGGCCATTCCAGAAATAAATAGCAGCTGGTTTCAATGTGAGTGGGCTTCTGAAATGTTTTGGAAGAGACTAACATCCCTTAAATCAGGCATAGCGTATGTGGTACATTTGAAGAAAGAGTTTAAAACATTTAAATCAGGTTCCTTGCATTTTATATTGGGTTAAGTGAAAAGTTAAGAATCTTGGGTTTCTAGGGTTGGGAAGGCCTCTAAAATACTATTTAGGTGTCTGCTATAGTGGTTTAGAAACTTCTTTTGTCCATGGAACTGTTAACTAATTTCTTGTTGGCCCCCTGTCGCCATATTTACAGACCAGGTAGGTGTTTGCTCAGTATTTGAAATGGTGACCTAAGTGGTAGCCTGAGATACAAGACAGGCCACAGGCGACAGGCTGTGAAGGATGTGAACCAAGACTTACTTCCTACGTCTTCTCCCCTTTCCTTCCCTGCTGCATGGCCATTGAGGTGGGTTCAGGGATCCCAGGGGCCATATGTGATCATTGATCCTTACTCAGCGGTGATTGCTCTTGGGGATTCCTTCCCAGGAGGAGCCAGGCAGACGCCCATCCAGTCCCCATCTGGGCAGCTGAGTGGGCATGGCAGTGTGAGGGTAAGGTGGTCACCGCAGGGACTCAGCCTGATGTGTGGGGCTTCTCCATGTGGCCCAGTGTGACAGTCTCCCCTTCTTGGGCGGGGGGAGGGGGAATCGCAGGCTGAGCTTCCTGCTAAGCACTTCACAGTTCTGGGGTCCCTTCATCCAGTAGCTGTGGCCAGAGCAAGGGTAAATCAAATTGTACCCCAGATTGTTTTGTGTCACTTGTCGTGAGACTTCATGGGATTCATGACACCTGCACTTATTTGGTATCTTAGAAGAATAGGGAATGGGGTCAGGAGAATATTTCTTCATTCGTTGATTTATTCACTCAATAATTATTTACCCAATCATTATGTGTTCAGTGCTATTATGTGCCAAGTGACCATGCTGGCCTAGGGGACTTATTTTTGAATGTGGGGTTGCTCATGCCCTAGCAAAGGTGACTGCTCCCTATGATGCATCCTGTTGAGTATCTGAGTGTCTGTGGTGCTCCATGAACATGTACTTGGACCAGTTGCGGGTGGTGTCTGAGCTGTGGTCTGAGGGCTTTGTGAACAAGAGGGCTATGCTAAAGCATAGGCACAGTATGTGCAAAGGCCCTGAGGAGGCATTTGAGGACCCCCATGAGTGCAGTGTGCCAATACAGTACTGCCAAATGGAGGATAATTATCTTGAGTGCTCAGTAGTTACCTCCTGTATATTGATGGCATTGTCTGAGGACATCATTTCCATTTCTAGGCAGTTAGTCTCCTATTTCTGTGTCCCATATCCCCCATTGTAGGCCAGGACATTTATTACCCAGCATTATAGGGGTGTGTGTGTGTGTGTGTGTGTGTGTGTGTGTGTGTGTGTCTGTCTGTCTGTCTTACACAAAACTGTGAACTCCCTGGTTGCAGGAGTGTTTCCAGTTCATCTTTGTACACACAGTAGATGCTCCATAAACACATAGTGAAGAAATAGGGAAGATATCTATTGAGCACCTATTGTGGACTCACACTAATCATATACACGTGCATATATAAGGCTACAAAATTGAAAAGCCGAAAGGAGCATGAGGCTTAGAAGCTGGAGGTGATGCCAGCAGATGTAGTTGGAGCCCAAAAGCTTTTGTGCCGTCTGTGCACATACTGCGGGAACTCCGGAACTGAGCTGTTGTCCTGTGTCTCCCCAGAACTGCTGAAACTCAGATTGTGGTGAGGAGCCTCTTTCCCTATCCACTTCTGCCGTGGGAGCATGCAGACACTCCGTTTGCCATGAGCTGTGACCCCACTGGCTTTCCCTGGCAACCACACAGCCCCACTCCGAGCCTGCCAGCTCAGGTACGTGGGGTACATGCTGACTCAAGCACAGGGGCTGGAGTGACCAAGAGGCAGAGCACACCAGGGTTCCTCCAGGGAACCTTCTGTCTGTCTTTTGAATCCTGTTGTTCTGTGTCTCATGTCCGTGTTCCATGTGAGTCCTAGAGCAGGCTTTTAAGAGCTCGTGGTGGCTGGCTCTGAAGGAGTCTAGCCCCACTTGTGGGCAGAACCCTCAGATCTCTGCCTGGAGTCTTTGTAGATGGGGGTTCTTCAGTTCTCATATCCTCCAGATCTGTCCCTCTCTTCTACTTCTAACCCTGTCTAGACACTGTTCTCTTGGTTGGGGAGATGGAATCTGTTAGCACTATCGAGCATGTAGGGAAGAGAAAATATCAAAATCTGTTGGCCTCTCTTTCTTGCAGACTGCCGAATGAGTCAGAGCTGGGATGGAGGGGCGGGGAGGCCCACAGGGCATGAGGAAGGGATGCGGAAGGCTTGCATTGAACTAAAATACCTTCTTTTTTAGTGCATCTAGGTGGGAGCTGGCTGGGGAGGGCCAGTTATAAAGGGAAAGACAATACTGGCAGGAAAGGGAACTGGTGGATTAAGAACAGTGACTTCTCTGGTACTTTTTAAGATCAGAAAAGAATAAAAAGTATTTTTTCAAAAGGCAGGGCTGAATGAATCAAGACTAGAGGTCAAGTTTTAGCTCTGTGATTATAAGCAAAGTGGGTGATCTCTCTGGGCCCTTTCCCTTCATCTCCATGGGACAGATAATGATAATTTCTGCCTCTTGGAGTTGTTTGGGGCTTAATGAGAGGGAAACTCATGCCTTGAGAGAGCAGATCACATAACTGTGTGGGCAAGGGGCGCCTGGCCTGAGATGATGCGAAATGAGATCTCATCATCAGCCCTGCCCTATAGGTCCTGGAGGGTCAGGTTTATCCAACATACGAAGCCCGTGGCTTCACTTGCAGTCTCACCCATGGTGAGCCTGCCCGGTTAGCTCTTTCTTTTCCTGTTAGGAATATGAACACGGCTAGGGACATAGCTCAGTGGCAGAGCACTTGCTTAGCATGCACAGCCCCTGGGTTCAATCCCCAGCACCACAAAACAAAAGAAAAAAGAAAAACAGGAAAAAAGAAGGCAGCCAGCATAAAATAGGTGTTCAACAGAAAACAACAATGACAAATACCAGCAGGTTGAGTGAGAAAAATGATGCTTGGATTTTAAATCCAAGAAAACTAAGAAGAGAAAGATAAGAGACTCAGTGGCACCCTGGCAGGGGGGTTGGGGGCTGAGGCATGGCCTCCACCAACCACTCCCCAGGCTTGTGACTCTGGGGACTCCTGCTTTGGGTGGCTGACCTCTTAACGTCTCCTTGCCTGGTGCTCAATACTGGGTTGCTGGGATGCCTGAAGGGAGCAGGCTCTGAAATAGGAAGTAATCAGGGTGACAGGAATGAGGGAGCTTGAGGATTCGTGCTTTGGAGCTTATGCATGGAATGTATGGTGTGAGTGTAGAGTCAGACCTGAGTTGAATGCTGACTTCGCCTCTCCCTTTCTGAGCGGCACCAGGCCTTTTCCTCTGCTTCAGGATCCCCTTTTGCTATAAGAGCTGGCCGTGAGATTGACTGAGTCAAGAAAGGCCTGGAGGAGCCCTCTGAGCTGGAGCAGGCCTTAGAGTTGGGATTCAGGTCTCGGCCCTGTTCTCCCACACCTTTGCTTCAATGCAGGCACTGACTACATGCTAAATTTACTTTCTTCTTCTCTTTTTAAAGCTGCTGCTTCTCCATTTCCAATGTTCCTAATCCTCATGGATCCACAAAGGTAACCATGGCAACACGGATTGAGGTTGGTTCCATAACATCCCTGACAAGGGTGCCAGGCCTTGGCGACATCAGCAAGGAGGAGACCCTGAAGCGGACCTTGTTTCACCAGGCAAGTGACACCTCTGGAGCTCCCTCAGCCCGGATCCTAGAAAGACAAAGCCCCCTGCAGACCTCAGCCCACTTGTTCCCTCTGCCAAGACTCACCCCTAAACCTTTCTCCAAGGAGCAGGCCTCCAACGTCAAGTCTCCTGTAGGATCTTTGTGGCTAGGTCCCACTAGGCCATCTCCCATTGGGTTCTCTGAAGAGGCAGCAGCCAAGGATCCAGACCTGAGGATGCCCAGTTTGGCAGGGCAGGAGGTAGATGGTAGGGACAGCCCTGGGAAAAGTGCGTCTGTGATCAACAAGGCAGTGTTCCTGCATCCCAGCCCCAGCACTGGCCCCAGCACCATGATTCTCTTTGAGACCATAAAAGCTGGTCTCACTCTGGGGAAAGGGCTCAGCCAGGGGGTTCAGGAGGCTGGCACAGGGGTGTCCCAGGAACCCCTCTCCAGTGCTCGGCTGGAGGTGGCCGCCAAGCCTGCTTTGCCTGCCCGAAAACCCATGGGAACCCTTTCCCGACCGGCTTCCCTGCCGCAGGATGCACAGTCAGCCCCATGCCAAGTGGAGCGAGTCCCAGAGCAGCCTCTCTCAAAGGCCAGCAGTGTGGAGGACACCATGATTCCTGTGCCAGAGCTTAGGCCTCGCCCGAAGAGGAGGCCCGTGTCAGCTATTTTCACAGAGTGTGCCCAGCCTCTGAAGCCAGGCCCAGGAGGGGCGGCTGGGGCGGGCAAGGTGCCCCCCACCCCTCCTGAGAAGACGTGGGTGAGGAGGCCCCGGCCTTTGTCCATGGACCTCACGGCCCGGTTCGAGAGCAGGGAGGCCTTGCTGAGGAAAGTGGCTGATGAGGGAAAAGGAGGCGAGTGTCACAGGCCGGAGAGGGCCAACCTGGAGGCCAGAGTGGATGGGGACTGTTCTGTCCAAGCAAGAGCCCTGCACCATGACCCAGACACAGACTTCCTGGAGGGGACCAAGAAAGTCTGTGAACAGAAGGAGAAGCTGATTTTTAAGCAGGCAGAAATCGGTGGCTTCAGGGCCCAGGGGTACTCAGCCAGGACTCCGCCTGCAGCTGACCAGAGTACTCAGGAAGAAAAGGCCAGGCTGGGCCAGGAGCCAGAGAAGATGCCGGAGTCCCCTTTGCCCAGGTCAGGAAGAGGGCTGGAATGTTCTGGGGTCAAGAACAGAGGGGGTGCTGAGGAGTCCTTGGTGGGGACGGAGTGGACCTCCAGGGGGAGCGTCAAGAAGCGCCTCAGCCTGTTTCAGGAGGAGATGACCTTGGCCTCAGCAGGAGGATCAGACCCTCCCTCGGCCACCCTGGAGCCCCCATTGGCAACACCAGAGCCTGAGAAAGTGGGCATGAGCGTCCAGGAACGGATCAAAGGCTGGGCCACTGAGAGCTTGGAGGTGAAGCCTGAGATCAGGAGGAGGACGCGCCAGTCACGGCCACTATCAGCGGATTTGACCAAAGTGTAAGTGGCTACATCCCGCATGCTTTGTGCATACTCCAGGCTGCCTCCCACTGCCCACCCGGAGTCCAGTGACACTGGGCTGTGTGCCCAGCACCCTACACCTCTCCTGTCACTTCATCCACAGCCCTTAGAAGAGGTAGCCATAGTTTCCACTTCCCAGATGAGGAAGCTGGGAAGAGGGAGGGCAGGACCCCAGCAGAGGGCTGAGGGCTCTGTGTCCTCCCCTTCTCTTTATAGTTACAGTGTGAGGACTTGGAAAGAGTTGTGCCCACTGAGCAGATTGGGGCTGGAAGAGTGAGCCACTGTGAGGAGGTGGGGAGCCCCAGGCAGTTCCAGCGCGCCTATCTCTGTAGCTAGACTTTCCTCCCCTCATGCCACAGAGCACCTCAGATTAGGTCTGAACTTCCCTGAGTGGCCCAAAAATAAAACCAGAGGAGTCAGTGTAGCTCGGGGAAGTCGTAACTTGTCACTGAGCCTCAATGTCTTCATCTTGGAAACAAATTATGCTAAAAGAAATTATGCTTTCTTTAAAGGATTGAGGGTAAAAACTCAGAGAGAGAATCCCAGGAATTATTCTGTCCTGGGGAAGCTCTCAGTACATTGATGATCATTGATCCTATTGGTTAACAAGGATTTTCTGAGTTCCACCCACCTGACATTTGACTCTTGCTTGTTTTTGCACACATGACCACAGTAGGGAGATGCCACCATACATGACCCACAGGCTTGTTAATGCCATGCATGCCACCAATATGCTTTGTCCAGGGAGGAGCTTCTGGGGCAGGATCTCTGGAGATTGTCCTCCCTGACCTGGGATCCAGGGAAGCAGGCAGGCCAAGTGAGACCAATGGCCTCCAACACATTAGAATTGCCCAGAAAAATACCCATGCCAAGATTCTGTTTCAGCTGGTCTGGTGTGTGTGTGTGTGTGTGTGTCATTATTTTGGTAGCTTCTAAAAGCTCCCATGTGATTCTGAGTGTGGCCAGGCCTAACATCCCCTGAGCTAAGACATCACAGAAGAAGGCACAGGTCCCAGGGACCTTGCACACCTCATTCTGACTACCTTCGGGGTGCCTCAGAGGGGCTGTGTGATTATCTGACAGATGGGGAAACTGAGGCACTGAGTTCAGAAACAACTCATCACAGCCTCACACCTCCCAGGAAGCAGACCCTATACTGCTGAGTGGGGATCAATTTCAAGTGGTCTAGTTTTCCTGTGGTCCCTTTTCTCCAACGCTTCCAGGCCTGAACCAAGCACCCGCTATAGGCATTTACCCTAGATAACACATCAGAGATAAAAGGTTTCTAGCCTCCTTCCTCTTCCCCTTTCTAACTGGGGAAACTGAGACCCAGAGAGGAAAGACGTATGGACTCTTCTGCTCACCCTGAGAGGCAGAGACAGACCTGTGCCCTCACATAGTCCATGGCTACCCACTGCCCCTGAGTCTCGAGGCTGCTTTGTGGCAGGGTGATTGTTGTGGTTGTGGTTGCTAACAAGAACCATTAATTATCCTTCCTGGGCATCTTCATTCTTTCCTAAATGCCTTCATGTACTATTAGGGCCATGGGTAGCCTCTTATCTGTCCCACAAAAGAGGGTAAGGAGGTATCAATTATCCCCGTTTTATAGATGAAGAAACAGAGGCTCAGGGAAGGTCACAGGCCTGACCCAAGCTCCTGCAGTGAGGTGGTGGAGCAGGGCCTGGCAGCTGGGCATCTTCACCCAGCGTGGGGGTCCTTCCACCCTGACGATGCTCTGCTTAAGGTAGGCTCTTCCCACTGGCCCTTCTCCTCTTGGTGCCTGGAAAAGAAATGTCCTCAGTGGAAATGGGGCAGCATGGTTTCGAGGATGGCAAGGCTGAGGAGGACCCAAGCCTCCTGAGCTGGGGTGGGCTGGGGAGTCCTAGTGCCAGGGTGTGGGCTGAGGGAGTCCTAGCCTCTGGCTCATGTGAGTAACTCAGATCTCTCTCCCAGGTTCTCAAGTTCAGCTTCAAGCAATGAGGTCAGGTATGAGAAGTGCACTGGGCTGGGCAGCCAGTCTCCTAAGGAGCCCAGCGGGAAGGTGAGCAGGGCCCTGTTTTCATGTCTTCTTTCCCAACACATAGTTACACTTCCCAAAGGAGAGTGTCAGTGAGCTGCTGGAAGCAGGTGAAGAGCATCAGGTCATGGGCAAGACAGCATTTTTGTCAGTGTTGGGACCCCAAATCCCTCCTGGCATGATGGGCTGTGATTCTCCTGTCCCAGTGTCAGGTGGCTTAAAAATGTAATCATCAGGTATTTGTTTATTTATTCATTCTGTGCGAAGAGGTAGAGGGGTATGGGTTGTTAATATGAGTTTCTGTTTTATTAAAATACTTAAGAGTTTGGTTTAAAATGTTGACAGAAACTCCCTCCAGTTCCCTTGTTAGGATTCTTACTCCCTCTTCACCCTGACTGGCCACCTGAAAAAAGAAAGAAGTAACTTAGCAGCAAATCAGTTGCTTAGAAAATATTTTATTTCATCTGTTTAGTAAGAAAAAGCTTATAAAATGACTGCTAGGTTTGATTGGTTTGTGGTTGATGCTTTCTGTGGCTTTAATTTTTTTAAACCAGCTTTACTGGGGTACACGTGACATGCAGAAAGAGCACATGCTTAATACATAGAAGTGGATGTGTTTCCATGTGTGTGGCCCTGGGAAACCATCGTCACAGTCACAGCAGTGACCATTTGGATCACGTGCACACACTCCCTCCTGCTTCTTTGTGACCCTCCCTCCTGCCCACCCCTAAGCAGCCACTTGTCCACTTTCTATTACTGTAGACTTCTTTGCATTTTCCTGTAGTCACAGCTACCTCTCTGGTGGCCTCCCAGTTGGACATAACAGGGTTTATTTCTCATGGGCATTTAGGTTGTTTCTGGGCTGCTTTGCTTTCACGAACAGGGCAGGGCTCCTTGGACTTTCTTCTTCATGTTCCCTTGTGCACACGGGTAAAGCAAAAGTCTGGGGAAGATCTTGGCCAAATAAAAGGAAATGAGCATTTAAAAATTGTAATAGGGTGTGTATTGCCCCTGCATTCTCTCTATTTATGTTTTTTCCAGCAGAATCTGAGGGCATCTGCTTTCCCACACCCTCAGCTGCACTGAATGTGATGAGTCTTTAAATTCATGTACTCTCGCTGTTTTAATGATCAAGCAGCCAACTTAATCACCTCACCTGCCTCTTCCTTTCCATCTCAAATCCTTTAACACTGCTGTGTTTATTTTTTCAGCCAAAGGTAGGACATGGTTTGGACAGAGCACCTGCCCCAAGAGACCCTTGGAAGCCTGGGGTGCCCCACAAGAAGTGCGAGCAGGCAGAGCACAAAGACAGTTCTAACCAGAACTCCAGCAGCTGTCAGTGTGACAGTGCAGGGAGGGCTCCTGGCCCTTCTGAAATCACTCCAGAAGATGATGGAAACTTCCAGATGGTGTGGGCCACAGTGTTTGAGCATCACGTGGAGAGACACATGGTGGCTGACCAGTCAGGACAGTGTCTCTTAGACACATCCTCTCGTAATGATGTCTCTGAGCCTAGACCCAGGTCTGAGAAAGGCCCTTGGATGGGGAAGGACCCACCAGAAGTGACAAACCCCAGGAGGAAGAACTCCAAGTGGCCTGAAAGTCCTGAGCCAGGGAAATTGGAAGGAGCTGCCCTGCTGGACGGTGAGCCAAGACAATATTGCACAGCCACCCTGGAAAAATGCCCTGTGGGTGACACACACAGTGATAACTCCTTCCTGAAGCACTCGGAAAATCCTCTCCTGTCACAGAAGGTTGAGCCCAGGTATGACATTGTGCACGCGATAGGGGAGCGCGCACACAGTGAGGCTCTCGCCACAGCACCCGGGGAACAGGCTGTGACACTCCGCAGTGGCAGGTCCCGGCTCTCGCTGACAGGGAGGCAGCTGTCCCAGGAGGTCAGCCCTGCCAACCCAGAGCATCCTCTGGAAGGTCAGGCAGGGTCTGTTCAAAGGGTCAGTTTGATTTGGGAAGCTCGAGGGCAGGAAGCCACTGGGCCAAAGCTTGACCTTCGTGAGCCAAAGGACACATTTGGGGACAGTTGCTCACCATCCAAATGGACAAATGAGTCAGTGGTAAACTGGCATCAAGCCACCCTGATGGCCAGCACAGAGCCCTGTACTCCTGAAGCCACTTTCGGGAGGGCTGTCAAGGTTGCCATCTGGGAAGGTCAGCACCAGAGGCCTGGTGGGGTTGGAAATGGGTCAAGAGGCCACATTTCTGCAGCAGAGAGAGGTCTGCCCCGAGGGTGTGCTCTGGACCCTCCTATGGCTAAGGCCAAGTTTGAGCCCTCTGGCTCCCGACTTGAGGCACACCCAGAGGCGTTTCTCATGCAAAAAAGACCCCTCATGACTACCAGTGAGGGTGCTGTGAGGGTGGAGCCTGAGGCCAGAGTGCCAAAAGCCAGCCCCACAGACCTGAGGATGGACAGATGGAGGCGGCGGACTTTACCCCATGATACAAAATTTGAAGCATTCAGCTTGCTCCCCTCAGATAACTCTTCAAAAGTAGATCAGAGACAAACAGATTCCTTGAGCCCCACAGCCAGTGCCTTAAGAAAACCTCAGCTGTCCCACAGTCATGTGGGAACACAGGAGATGACCCCAGGTGCCCCACGGGACTGCACCTCCCCAGCCACAAAAACAGGGTCATCTGCAGAACCCAAGGCGATGTTTTTTGCAGTCACTTATCAGATTCCTGATATTCAAACTGCAAAAAGTGTTGTTAAGTCAGGGCCTGAGAATTCACTGGAGCAGCCTCGAAAAATAGCTCCGCCTCCGTCACCTCATTCTTTTATAACTACTTTGGTGTCTCCTCACCGTGAAGAGCCACAGGTTTCTGCAGGCAGTAAAACCTGGGCTAAGGGAAGAGAGTGTGAAGAGGTAATGAGTGCTTCAAAAAATCTGAAGTCAAGAGACTGTCAGTTCTCTGTGGGAGACCAAATTCTGGACCCTTCTGGAGAAGGGGCTGTCAGTGTGGATGCTCTCGGGACTCATCAGGGGTCAGAAGGCATGAGTTTTCAGAACGACCAGAAGGACAGTGGCAGCAGGATGTCCCCTGGCAGTGCTCCCCAAACTACCCCAACCCTGAGAAGTCACCCGAGAGCCAGCAGTCTGCTGGTCAGAAGGAGGACAGCAGTGGTCAGCGAGACATTCCCAGGAAAAATGAAGGATGGCTACAAATCCAGTGTTCTCGATATCGATGCCCTGATGGCTGAGTACAAGGAACAGTCATCCAAAGTCCCTGGCGAGCGGAGGGACAGTCCCATTGCAGAGCTCAGCGGCTCATCTTGGGAGATACCAGGCTGCCCCAGCAGGCCGGACTGGGGAAGGAGGAGCCCCAAGGAGGCTCCTGTCAGGGAAGCTCCTCAGAAACAGGCCATCATCAGGGATGCAAGCCACAGTGCCACTCCTGGCTCAGGCAAGCAGCTGGAAAAGACCCTGGAGGCCACTGCAACCCCCAAGTCTGGCTGTCCTTTGTGGGCTCTGCCACACTCAGCTTCTGCCGACAGGTATCCTGTGGTCTCTTCCATCCCTGCCGGGCCCAGGAAGAAAGCCTTGGGAATCTCAGAGAATGAAAACAAGGCCTTTGCTAGCAGCCACCATGACACAAAGTTTCAGAATTATGTGGTTGTGGCAAAGCCCTCTGGCTGGGAAGATCCAGGTAGTGGGGACAGACTGGCACCCAAATCTCCTGCTGACCAGAATAAAGGGGCCCTAAGAAAATTCACCTGGCAGGGAGAGGAGGAAAGTGTGGTCCAGAGGGGCGACCCTCATCGTGACTGTGGAAGGTCACCGCTGGATATCAAGAGGGCTTCTTCTGAAAAAGGCCGCCCCGCCAAGGTCCGAGAGGGTCTGTACCTCATGCAGGAAGCCAGACAGAGGAGACAAGAGCAGCCCAAAGCGAGGCCCAGCCTCCCTGCAGAGAGTCCAGACACCAGAGTGGGGCCTTTTCGGTGGGAGCCAAGGACTCGAGACGGTCACAAGGTGAGTACAAAGCTTCTTTTCATCTTGTCAAACATTGATGAAGCATCCAGCTCTGTGAGCTCAAACTCATATCTTCTGTGGGGTATATAGGTACATAAATGAGTGCAGTCAAGCTGGGTATGTGATCCTAAGGAGAGGTGGGGATTGTGGCAAATGGTGAGCTCATGCCCCATAGGAGAGGGTGCCTGCTGCTTGGTTTTGGCTGGTTCCTGACATGAAAATGATGCCTTGGGAATAGCAGTCCTTACTTACCAAGAGAATCTGATAATCCAAATTTTTGTGTGTAAACACCACAATTAGGAAATGAGGGAAACTTCTTTAAAAATGCTGTCCGGTCCAAACTAGTTTGGCTCTGTTGAGCTGTGAGTCACTAGTTTCCAATCTCCAGCCTCAAATAATGGTACTGCTGGGTATCAGTGGGTATCAGCATTACGGAGCACCTGCTGTGTGCCAATATGCATGCTGTATTGAGCCAGCCATTGTATCTCGCATCCAGCATCATGCCTACATCATGTGAGCTGGCATGAAATACTTGTGAAATGAGCAAGCAATCTTATGTGAGCCTGGTGACAGTTCCACAAAAGTGAGGTCCTCGTGGCTTGGGTTGGCACATGGTTGGACCTTTGCCACAGCATGTACCTGAGTGTCAGGCAGTGTGCTGACAATGTCCACTGCTGGTGTGACTGTTTTCCTATACAAATGGAAAAAAAAATGGAGGCTCAGAGAGGTTCAGTAACTTGTGCCCATTAAACAGAAGTGGCAGAGTAAGTGCTTGAACCCCGATCTGGCCTAATACCCATTAGGCAGGGGCCTCTCTGGTGCACGGAGAATCCTGGAGGTGGAGAGGAAATAGGAAGCACAGTGGAGCCTTGGGGAGCTTTTGACTTCCATGAGGAGCTGGAACACTGTTGTCCAAGGCCAAGAAATGACAGGGTGGGTGCAGAATGAGATGGGAGGCCAGGACATGGCAGGACATGCCAGGGTGCAGAAGGAGCTGCTGGAGAAGAGGCCCAGGGAAGTGTCCTGACTTGAGCCCATGCTTGCAGGGCAGGTGTGACTCAGGCCTGAGTGGGAGAGGTGAGGGAGTCAGCAGGGGCCTGGCAGGTTTGGAGGTGGGAAAAAGCATGGCCTGTCCCAGGAACCCACTCGGTAGCTTCCTTGTGGTGTGGCCTTCACAGACCAGGGCCCACTCCCACCTCTGCCACCTGCACTGTCTTAGAGTGTTGTGTGCTGCTGGCAATACCTAGGCCTGGCTGCTTTGTAGAGATTTCTTCCTTACAGTTCTGGAGGCTGAGGGTTCAGTCCTGTGATCCATTGCCCTCAGGACCTGATCACCTCCCCACACTGTAGCCCTGGGGGTCAGTTTCCAGCAAAGGAACATGGGGTCTCATGCAAGCCATAGCTCGGGCTGAGAGATTACAGGCACATACTTTCACCTCTTTGAGCTTGAGTTTCCTAATTTATACAGATTAGGGAACAATTCTGAAAGGTGTTGTGGAAATGAAAGAGGGAGATGATACCATGGAGATTGTGAAACGACAGTTTGTCCCAAATTCAGGGATGAGGAAAGAGAGAGTCAGCCTTTGAGCCCATGTCTCTCCTAAAGGGTTCAGTGTCGCACAGACTTGACCTTTAAACCTCCAGTCTGCCACTTGCCCACCAATCTGTCACTTGTTCCCTCACCCTCAGTTTTCCTACCAACGCTGACAGTGACTCCTGCCTCAAAGCACTGTTGCAGGCGAAACTGAGATAAAGCCCAGCATGGGTCACCATCCCTGTGTGTTTCCCAAGAAGGACCTCATCTGTCCCCCTCCAGGCTGTTACTGTGAGAACAGTGGGGAAGGGAAGAGACCGAGACCATAGAAATGTGACACTCCACCCACCAGCACCTCTCTCCGGGGCCTGCTGGTAAAGGGAGAGTTGAGCAATGTGGAGGGGTCCACCTTGTCCCCGCAGACTCTATCCTTGCTGCCCAGCCCTGGATGCCTGCCCTGTGCACCCAGACCCTGGGACACTGGTTGTCAGGGATCTCCATTCTCCCTGAGGGACTGCAAAGCCTTGGGCCAGCTTCCTGTTTCTCTCTCCTGTCCTCCCCTACCATATTTGCATCTTTTTTGTTTTTGTTTTTGCTTTTGAGACAGGATCTTGCACTGTAATTCAGGCTGGGCTTGAACTCACTATTTAGCTCAGGCTAGCTTTGAACTCATGGTAATTCTCCTGCCTCAGCCTCCCGAGTGCTGGAATTACAGGTGTGTGCCACCATGCCTGGCTCCATATTTGCTTCCCCCCCCCATTAAGTTTATTGGTACATTTTAGGTATAAAATACAGTTACATACATCATTGGGATCCTGTACCATTACATGAGTATCTTGGTTCTTATTTTTTCCCCCTTCCCCTGCCCTCCCTTCACCCCCTCCAACCTTCCCTATTTGCAAAGACTGTTTCCATTTTTTTCCTTTTCTCATATTTTTTCTTTTCCCTTCTTTCCTTTTCCTACCCCTCCCACTTCCCCTGCTCCTTTAGACCGTTACTTCCTATTACACAATATCAATTATACATTTTTAAAATTACAGTATCAAGATCTAGGAGGCATTACCACAGATTTTACAGAATTTAAAAGGATATAGAAAGCATATTACAACAATGTGTTTTGAAATAAATTTAACAACTTCTTAGAAGTACCTTGGAAGACAAATTAATGAAACTAACTCTGGAGGAAATGTAAAATTTGAATAGCACCTTTTAAAGAAAGTATATTCCTAGCTTGAAAACCTATCTATATGACAACAACAGGATCATATACATTTTAACTGATAAATTATATCAAATATTTAAAGCAGAAAAAAAAGGGAACAATTCTCCCCTCATTTTAGGAAATCGACATTGTGCTAATCCTAAAACTGGATAAAGATAATAGAAGAAAAATGTAGGAACATAGATAGAAATTTGTTTAACAAAACAAACTATTAGAAGTCAGATCTGGCAGGATGTGTAAAGTGGTTTTATTATAGGGATGGCAGTGTCGGTTCAGCATTGGAAGATCCAACCCCAAAAGTCATCATTTTAACAGAGGAAAGGAAAAAGCCATATGATCCTGTCATTAGTTGGAGAAAAAGTATCAAAATAAATTCTACAGCTGTTCATGGTAAAAGCTATCAGGAAACTAGAAGTAGAACAGAACCTTCTCAACAGATTAAAGACATGTACTCCGTACTTCCAGCAAAAATACCTTATATGAATGGAGAAGATACAATGCTTTCTCCCTAAGGTGGGGAACAAGGGCAGATATGCCTACTCTTCATTTGTCTAGTAAACATAGGCCTAAACGAAAATAATCTGGCAATAAAATGACACAATTAGGATAAGATTGGCAAGGTAGAAGCAAAATCTTTACATGTAGATGAAATGATCATCTACAGAGAAAATACTAAGAAATCTCTAGGAGCCCCTAGAACTTGTATTTGAATTTAGCAGGATTAGAAAACACAAGGTATATATAAAAATTCAGGTCTCTGCATACTTGCTATAAATGAAGAATTGGATATTGAAATTTAAAAGTTATGTAGGAGTACAAAGGACCTAGAAAAGTCAAAAGAAAAAGAAAAAGAAAAAAAACAGTGTTGGAAGACGTTTAGTACTTAATTTTAAGACTTCCTCTAAAGCTACAGTAATCAAGGCAGTGTTTGTGTAAAGAAAGACATATAGATCATTGGAATGAAACAGAGAATCTAGAAATAGAACCAAACATATATGGTCCACTGAGTTTTGAAAGATTATTTAACATTAACATTTTATAGAATATAAACTCAATTCAAGAGCCGAGGAAAAGATAGTGTTTTCAGCAAATGGCACTAGAACACCTGGTATCCGTATATAAAAAAATTAACCTCAACCCTTTATTTCCGTACATAAAAATAACTGGAAAGGATCTATGAACCTAAATATGAAAGCCTCAAACTACAAAACTTTAAGAAGAAATTATAAGGGAAAATGTTTATGAATTTGGGGTAGGCAAGAACTTGCTAGGATACAAAAAACATGATGTGTAAAAGAAAAAAAATTGATAAATGAGATTCCATCAAAATTTAGAACTTTAAATGACATCGTTAAAATGAAAAGTAGTCCTTAAAGAGACCATATTTACAATCCATATAACCTATAACCAGAATATATAAAGAATTCTTAGAGCTCATTAATAGACAATCCAATTAAAAAGTAGACATAAAATGATAGCCAGTACAGCAGAAGGAAAGGTGTGCAACTCTAGAATCAGAAAAATACTAATCAGTACAATAACAAGATTGAATTATACACTCATTAGGGAGATGAAGTTAAAAGCTTTAAAAGCCTTGTCATGACTTTTTCTTTTTGTTGGAATCTCCCCATTTGTGTTTAATTTGTCACACCCAACAGATTCATTCTGCTGGGCTTTCTGGGGTTGTGATCCTCATTGTCTTTTCCTAGGATATTGTCTAAAATTTTTTGGAGTGTTGGTTTGGTATTCATGAAGTTCCTAAGGTTCTCTTTATCATGAAAGTATCTTATTTCTCCATCAATTTTGAAAGATAGTATTGTAGGGTACATCAGTCTGGGTTGGAGGCTGTTTTCCTTTAAGGCTTGAAATACATCACTCCAAGCTCTTCTTGCCTTGAGGGCTTGCATTGAGAAGTCTGCTGTGATTCTGATGAGCTTTCTTTTGTATGTAATTTGTTACTTTTCCCTCATTGCTTGTAGAATTTTGTTCTTCTGTTGGGTTTCTGGAATCCTAACTATCATATGCCTACATGTAGGTTTTTTTTTTGATCAAGGCTAGTTGGAGTCCTATATGCCTCACTTATCTGTATGTCAAATTCTTTTCCCCTGCTTGGAAAGTTTTCTGCCATCACTTCTGTGAACAGTTTTTTTTTTAATGTCATCTGCACTCTCTCCTGTTTCTTCATTGACTCCAGTCTGTCTTATGTTATTCTTCTTTGGATCATCTAGCAGGTGGTGGATTGCT